ATTTTGTACGACATTTGTTTGAGCGCCTCTCATCTATCTCCAACACTCACCGAGATGTAGGCCTCGGAACATAGTGGACTGTGGAAAATGTATGGCGGCCGTATTGGAAAATGGCGGAATAAAGAATTTGACTGTAAATTCGTATTACCGGCTCCCCAACACGGAAGAATATAAAATTTCAGCCGGATCGGAGCACCTTTTTGTCGGACCGCCATCTTGGATCGGCCATTTTGAAAAAATAATTTCGACAGTCAGTTTTTAGCTCTTATCGCCCTCTACGATATTAGTTTGAACACGATGTACCTATCTCCAATAGTTGCCGAGATACGGGCTCCCAAAATTTGTATGGCGGCCATTTTGTTTTTCGAATTTTGAATTTTTTTCACTCTTAGTAGGAACTGCCTAAGGTGTGGATGAACATTTGTTTGGAGACTTTGGGCCACGACGTATACTTTAGCCGGGCAGCTGGGATCCTACCTAATGCGGAGCACGTTTCGAAGATTTGCCTGATGTTGCCTTCTGATATTCTATAATTTCAGTCTGACCATAATTCACCTACATTATTGTTACTCTCCCGCCCTCCTTCTGGGAGAAAAATGACGCCAAAAGGCAGAAAATTAACATATATGGCGGCCATATTGGAAAATGGCGGAATAGAAATTTCAACCATATATTCGCATTGTCGGTCCCCATACATGGCCGCATGCCAAATTTCAGCCTCCCTCCAGCCAGACCTCCTTTCTTTGGGGCCGCCATTTTGAGTCGGCCATCTTGAAAAAATTTTGTCACCGGCAGTGCCCCCACTGCCCTCTATGACGTTTGGTCGACCACCCCCCGCCTATCTCCAATACTCGCCTAGCTATAAGGTCTTCAATTTGTACGGCGGCCATCTTGTTTATTCGAATTTCGAATTTTTTTCACTTCCGGTGGAAACTGACCAAGGTGTCGGTCAATTTTAGTTCAACGACCCTTCCGGTAGGTATTGTACATTGGCCGCGCAGCTAGAGTCCCATTCCTTGATGCAGTCCATTTTTCGAAGGTTTCGGATTTTTCTGTTACTCACCGGAGCCATTCGATCACGACTCCCGTACATCATTTTTACCCACCGCGACTCCTTCTGGGAGAACAATCATCTAAATCACTGGTTCAGTCAGTCAGTCAGTCAGTCAGTGGTAATCGAGCTATATAGAGTATAACTAGATGGCGCGCGTTGCGCCGGGCCTCGCGGGCCGGCCCGGCCCGCGACGGCTTTCTTTATATCTGGTGACAAATTGGGAGTTGAACTTTATATTTCAGTAGACAATCCCCTTTGGTTGAATTTGGGTGGGAAGGAGCAGGATTAGATAAATAGATAGATAGATAGATAAAATCTTTATTCGGTTACTGACTGATCCAGTTTAGTTACATGTAGGGGTAGTTGGTATAATCGCGTCAAGTCGTATCTTTAAATATCTTAGAACAATCCACTCGTATATCATTGACAGCTGCGAAGATTCAGAAAAGTCAATTGTTTATGGCGGCCATTTTGAATTTGCCATATTGGAAAATTTTTGATCCCAGTAGAACCTGACCAGGGTCCCTGACATATTTTGTTTGAAAGTCATACACCCATCTCTGACACGTTGACTGGGCCGTTTATCACGGAAACCAGGTCGACTTGGATGTTGCATGTTTCGCTGGGCCGCTAAAGTGGCCCGCGAGGGCTACGTACGAGGCTTGTGACTTTAAATGTAGGAAAAAGTTCGTCAGTCGGTTGTAAAAAAAGATTACTTAGAAATATAAACCATAATTTTGAAAAATCATTTTTTCTTCTCAAATAACGGACTTACCAAACCGCCCTCGTATATTAGTTATTAGAACAAAATACAGACATTATAATCATGATTTTCTCGAAACATAATACCGATTGTTCAATCACGAAAAAATGATGAGAAATATTGACAATACTTTTTAACGACAGATATCAATATTTTTTTGTTATGTGTAATCTTTCAGATATCTTTGTTGATTTAACACAAAATAGGATAGAATGGTTATCTGAAAATCTGTTGTTATGGAAATGAGATTCAGGATACGGAATATACAATAAGTAATCATTCTTACAGCAAAGATTTATATCGAACGTTTAAATTGATGATAACTAGCAGTTTAAAATAAAAATCTGATCCAATGTACGAGTACATTGTTTATTTTATTAAATACAAGATAACGCTACCTATTTTGGTTGGAAGATTATGTGGCTTCCAATGATCTTATATACCTTCAATATGAAAAAGGAAACATTTTTTTTGGTTCTAAATCGCGTATATTTATTTTTTCCAACAACTTAACGTTTCCGGCTATTTATAGCTCCCGGGCTCAAAATAAAGAGCCCAAAATGTTACGTTCTTTGAAAAAGCAAATACGCAATTTAGATGAGAAAAAATAAAAGTTTGTTTTCCAACGTATATTTTTTTTACAGGGAATGCATTGAAGGTT